CAAGCAATCTGTGGAGTAGATATTATAACCACTGGCATCACATGGACACAAACGCAGAAATACAATATTAGAGTCCTCCATCATCCCTTCGATCACCCCAGCTGCAAAGGTCCAAATGTGTTGCTACAGCCACACCACTGACATAGCCAGGCATGCAGACACATACACTTTCAATTTAGTCGAGGAAAGTGCAAAACAAGCAATGCTTCTAACTGATGTGTATGGCAGACCTATGATAACACTCTTTGTGTCTCTGTCTTAATGCTCTATCAAATGGCTCTATCTTTCACCAGAACTATGATATTGATTTATTTACCTTAGGGCAGCTCTTAGTTGTCCTTGGTGTCGTTTAATTGCCTATGCCTTGTCTACACACCCCTTTATTCCTGCAATAAAGATGTTGGTTATGCCGCCATGATTGATGTAGGTGAACTGTGTGACTTGCTTACAAGGAAAGAAAACATCCTTCTAAACGCAACTTTCAGAATGAGGTAGACAGCAGTGAGATGATAATATAAGAGCTACATAGCCACATTACATAGAGCGCATTGGATCAGACATGGCAACGCAGGCCACTCATATGCTTTTAATGGCTGTCGCTCTTGTGTCTCTGTCTTCATGTTCTAGCAATGAGTCTTGTCCTACATGGCTGTATCTCTCGGGAGAAGGAGGGTGTACTTGTGGCAGTAGTCTTCTCGGTGTCATTCTGTGCAGCAACGAAACCCAGGAAATCAGCATCCTGCCCTCATACTGTTTGACGTCATGGGACTCAGGCAGTAACCCTGACAAGGCAGTGGTAGGTAGCTGCCTCTATGGACAGAACCATGGAAAACAAACAGGCAGTGTTGGAGGAATGTACGTCAGTGTGAATCAGAACATCACTGAGCAAGATCAGGAGCTCTGTGGCTACTTAAACAGAGAAGGAAGACTCTGTGGACTGTGCAAACCCAACTATTTCGTTCCAGTCTATTCCTATGATTTCAAGTGTTACAAGTGTCATGGAAACCTCGCCGGAAACATTGTTACTTACCTGATGGTGGCATATGTTCCCCTCACAGTTTTCCTCATTCTTGTCATGACGTTCCGTATATCGGTGACATCCCCACACTTGCACGTGGCAGTCCTCGTGTGCCAGATCTATACTCTGCCAGAACTTCAAAGAGTTCTTATCCAAAACACGAGACACACGACATATTCAATTTTTTTTGATATAATAGGCACAGTGTATGGAGTTTGGAACTTGGACTTCTTCCGAACATTCACTCTTCCAATTTGCCTCCCTCTCAACACAATGCAAGTGATAGCGCTGGACTATCTGCTAGCCCTGTATCCACTAATACTCCTGCTGTGTTTCTATAAGTTAGCATTGGCTCACGACAAAGGATACAAATTAGCTTTGAAACTGTGGAGGCCATTTCTATGGTGTTCAGTGAAACTGAGACACACATGGAACGTCAAGCACTCCATCATCGATGCTTTTGCAACCTTTCTTGTTCTCTCGTACATGAAGTTCTTGAATACTTCTATTGATCTCATGATACCGACAACCGTCACTGATGTCCATGGCTCACGTTTAGGCTATTTCTTTTACTATGACGCAACAATTGAATTTATGGGCTCCCAGCATTTGCCCTATGCCATTATCGCTATGGCAGTGTTACTAATTGGACTCTTATTTCCACTTATGCTCCTAATATACCCAATGAAATGGTTCCAGAAGTTGCTCAATACACTTAATCTGAACAGCCCTGGCCTGAGGGCCTTCATGGAGTGCTTCCAGGGAAACTATCGCGATCGAACGGATGGTGGGTGGGAGTGCAGATATTTTTCTGCCGTCTACCCAATTTTCAGAATAGGTGTATCTCTTTTTTATGCTCTAACCCGCAATGACCTCTTTTTACCCATAGAAGTAGTAATGAGTGTAGTTGTCATTACCTCATTACAAGTGGTTCGTCCGTACAAGAAACAGTGCAGACAGTACAAAACACTGGATACCCTGCTACTAATGTCCTTGATTGGTTTCAGTGCTGGCATTGTGATGCGTGAAAGATCTGTGGATTGGTACCAACTCTGCAACGAAGCCTGCCCTACTATAGGGATGACAATTTCTGTAGCTTTCGGCCTTGCACCACTTGCCTACTTTGTAACACTCCTATGGAAAAAAGTAAAGAAACCACTTCTGAAATTCAAGGATGCTTGTCAGCGACGGAAGAGACAGGACTATGAAGAACTGAGTGTTGCCAATCCACTGCTTAATTCAGCCAGTAGGGACGGTTCTCCTCTGTCAGTATGAGGTTCATGCTCAAACCCAAGAACACATACTTCACCTTGTCTAGCTACAAACTATTACTACCCTACATGCATTCACAAGAAAAACCATTGAATCGTGCATAACTGAAGAGTGATTTTACCCTCGGCGCGCATGCGCAGCGAGGGTTGGTTCGTGAGTGTTTGTCCGTACCGCGTACGGCGACTACGCGCAACGAGACAACGTTCATCGCCTCATTTTTAAAAATGCGATTTTCGTATAACTACTACGGTTCAAAAGTTATGGCGTGAAAAGCAAGTCAACAACCAATATGCAAATTAGCACAGGCTTACCTCGACCGCGTCCGCTCGGTCCGTGTATTTTGAAGGCACAAGAAGTCACAACGAAGGTCATGTATCGACTCCCGCATGCTATCTACTACTGTAGCCAGCCCGTGCCAGACTCTCCGCGCCCACTCATTGGCCGCCTCGTAGCCTGTAGTGCGAGAACTCGCGCGGACGGACAGACAGACTGACAGTACAGTACACAGACAGGCAGAAAGACTACCGTAATCCTCGCTGCGCATGCGCGCCGAGGGTTTACGGTAGTCTTTCTGTCTGTACACCCGCAAAGAAGATGAACTATGCGCTCGCAACAATTCTGTTCGCTAATTTCTCTAGTTCCCTCGCTTGGGGCGGTAAGTGTGCTACCTCAGTCTGTCTTATATCTATAGCTAGTTGTGATTGCTATACTACCCCATCATCGCAGACTGCAGCATACGGGATAATGACACCGTTTCTTCTTCCCCATATCCGCCCACTTTCACAGGATTATTCGTTTATAAGCTTTCTTGTGACGCGGGCACTGTTACATCGGTCAGGGCCCGCGGGTTTTGTCACATAGCCGCCCATAATCAAACTGTGGAACTGGAAATCTTCAACGCTACTTTTGAATTTGGGGCGTTCGAATTGTTTAGCACCACCGTGAAGGCAGAGTGCGACAACAATGCTGTCAACGGCACAGACAACTATTACGAAGGATATGTCAGTGCCGATGATATCAATATCAGGATTCCATCTGGTGGTCTTTTGGGTGTGCATTTTCACCCACGGCATATAAGTAAAATACATTCCTGCCAGCTGTCATCAACAAGAAAACTAGCAACTATGCAGTATCTTTCATTACTGATGGTTTAAAGACTACTGATCCTAACTTTACTCTCTCTTCTCAGTTGTCAACCAAAACACATCCATACAACATAGTGGCTAATCGCTTTATGCAACACACAGATGACGGAAATGAGGAAGAAATGATGAATACTGCACTGTTTGGGACAATTGTGGACTTCTGGAATCATTTCATTTCTACTGTTCAGTCTAGTGGCAACCTGTCTTGTGTGCAGTGGTGATAAAGAACAGACATGATAAGAAAAGAGTGGCTGAACATCTCTCCCTCTCTGTCCCCGCTACACAAACTCCAGCTCTGACCAACAATGAGGTAAGATTGTTTTCATAATATTCCACCATTTCCTCCAACTCTCTAAAGGTTGTTGACCCTAGCTCCAACACAAAACTGTTAAAAACGAGGGTTGCAAAGTGAACGAACAACACAACCACACTGAGGACTCGATACATAGCCACCCACGCACATTGAGTGGCTTGCGAAACCAACCCATGTTGATACTAAGTCCTGGAAGCACACGTGCATGCAGCCCATCCACAGCCATGCACTAGCTGTATGGGGTGTTTCACCATCATATAACAACAGTTATTTCTGCTATATATACAGCTGCAGGCTGCATATAAAGTTGACGCCTAAAATCATCATCATGACACAGCATTCCTTAGTGCATAATTGTGGAAAACTAAGTTAGTCTAGCATTGCAAATGTAGTGTCTCTGTTAATGTAGGTAATTACTGCTTGTTTACTTATTTCCAGGAGTCACACGATAATTCATATGACACAGTACCAGCAGATAACATGCTTTCCACAACACATGTGAGTTAAGGCATCGCTTCACATTCACTCCTCCCCAAAATTGGCTATATAAAATCATAACTCAAGGGAAGGATCCTAACACTCTTAGCTAGCTACTTGTCTGTCTGTCTGTCTGACTGTCTGTCTGTCTGTCTGTCTCTCATGATCTGCCATCTTTGTATTTCATCGTACAGGAAGACTCTTCACCCATCTATGACTATGCTCGCAATTTTGGCCATGATGATCAAATGCAAACTGGAACTCAAGAAGTAGAGTACACAAATAATGACCCTTTCTGGGAACCAGGCAATGTTCAGGACGAGCTGAAAAATCAGCTTAAAGACTTTGCTATCTCACACAATGTTCTCACGTGAGTACACTTAATACCATCTGAATATTTACTGTTTGTGTGTGCTATGTCACACTGCAGTGTCCACTCTGAGCTGGGTAGTGGTGAGTTTGGTGTGGTGAGGAGGGGAGAGTGGAGTGTGGGGGGAGAGGAGAGGGAGGTGGCTGTCAAGTCACTGGCAGATGGCTTCACTGAGGAGAAACGTATTCAGTTCCTGCAGGAGGCAGCCATCATGTGCCAGTTCAAACATCCCAATGTCATAACCTTCCATGGCATTCTCCTGAACTGTGACCCAGTGAGACAACAATATTTCTCATGGGGTATAATAATAATGAAGGCGCAGTTTATGTCAAAACCCAAGAGACCTTTTTTAAAAAAACAGGTATTCACTTAATACCTTCCCCCAAAACAGCTGCATGTGAATTAGTAGTACCCACTTGTGTAACGCAGAACTGCGGGTATTAATACCTGAGTGGACAGGTGTTTAGTAACAGACTTTTCAACTGCCCCGATATTGGTGGGACAGTCCCGATAAAGGCACACACATCCCGAATCCCGCTGCAATGCCCAATGTCTCGCTTTAGTTCACAGGCTGCTCGTACATTAGATCAAGGTTCAGAGACCTGAGGACTAGCCATTCGCAAGAGTCCCCTTTTCACAAATCCCAATCACCTGAAAAACATAATTACAGAGAGTGAGGCACTCTAGAAATGATCAGAATCGATAAACCACCTTTTTTGAGAAGGCTATAAACAATTACGCTTTTAAAACAAACGTCACAGTTTAAGGGTTTTCACACAAACAGTGCCCCATATATAGTAATTCTTTCTAGATGATGATAGTGTTGGAGATGATGCACGCTGGTGATCTCCGGGAAAAGTTGCACTCACTTAAACCTTTGTAAGTAGCTACATAGTTATTATTCCCAAGTTTGAGTTTCTACTGTACTGTTATTACAGGGACCAATCAGCAGCTCACACTCCTGCGCTTTTCATGAGTTTCTGTCGCCACATAGCCTCAGGGATGACTTACCTCTCAGGGAAAGGGTTTGTGCACAGAGATTTAGCCGCCAGGAATATTCTCGTTGCTAATGATGAAGTCTGCAAGGTAAGGGCTGTTATTCAAGCTATGTTTAACACCAGTTCAAACCAAAAGTCTTCGACCACACTCTAACATATAACAACTGATAGGAACAACAACCTAAGTGTATTCTTGGGGTGAAGCCAAGCGCATTCTTAATTGATATCGCAATTAGCTACAAATTTCATTATGCAACTTAGATTTCTGACTTTGGCATGTCTCGAGCTCTGAAAGACACTGACTAGCTATGTCTCTCGTGGAGGGAAAATCCCTGTGAAATGGACAGCTCCAGAGGCTCTCCACTACAAGAAGTACTCGACTGCCAGTGACGTGTGGAGCTTTGGAGTTGTCCTCTATGAGATATGGACAATGGGCATCAAGCCATATGACAATGCAACAAACAACGAGGTAACAATGAAATCTCCACAGCCTTCAAATTTTACACATACATCTGGCAGGTGTACCAGAAGATCCAGTCAGGATATCGCCTCCCTCCCCCACCTGGATGTCCCAGAGCTGTCTATCAGACCATGATCAACTGCTGGTATATAGGTTTCTGTCTGGGAAAGTGATTATAATAATTGTTCAAAAGGAACTTGGAGGCAGAGTCCAGACCAACTTTCTCCGAGATTCAAATGGAGCTCCAGCGTCCAGACTTCAAGTTGCTGACATGGACGGCAGAGGATGTGGCTGCCTACACTGAAGAGGCCCAGAATGCTGGGAGCTCCCCTGGAGGCTGGAGAGGAACTCTACACTGACATTCAAAAGACATACAGTTACATGTGAACACCTGACAATTATAGTGTATGTGCGCACTTAGCCACTTGAGGACTTCAAAATAATTGTCATTGTTCTCACACACAAGATGGTGCAACAATTTAATTTGTTGTAGGTGATTTGTATTTCCGAAGACCACTTTTCAAATATGAGACCTTAAGGTCGGTATCGCCAACGTTATAGTAGCTAGCTAATAGGCTTGAGAATAAAGCTATTAAAAAACAAAGCTGGAAGTCTTCATGGTGAGACATGAAACAGCTGATTAGTGATTCACTGGGTTTCAAATGTAATTGGCTCAGTAATGTTGTTCAATGTTGATATCATTAGCTACCTTCTTGCCTGAATGACTAGCTAAGAGATTATTATAGGCAAGTATTCTATGCATGGTTGGGCTACAGAGATAATAATACAACCATAGACCGGAGGAGCTGGCTAAACAATGCTAAAATCATACATTGCTGACTTCATAAGCTGGACGTTGTGGGTCCTCATCTTGACGAAATCAAACAAACAGACATGGACGACACAGGCATACAAGAAGGGAGAGCTTCCTACAATTGTGGGTGGAGAGGAATGGATGCAAGGTGATGTTTATGGTCGTGCTGAGGTGAAGAAAAGGAATGAGGCTGAGGTTTCTAAGTTGCTGAATCCCGAGAGTAAGTATGATGACCCTAGAAATGCAAGTATAGGCTATTGTTAACACATGCGAACTTTGGGTCGAGGTAGGTAGAATAGCTACGTGTAATTGAACTAAAAAAGAGTTCCTCTTCTCTTCCAAGGCCAAAGAATTGCTTCTGAAATGGCAATGATACAAGAGGATAATGGGTGGGTATATAGCTAGATGAGTAAGGGTAAGAGAGTCAGTCTCAATCAATTATAGGCATGGAGAACCACTCCATCATGACTCACTATATTATACCCACTCCGAATGCCTATGATATCATATCTCTTGGGTACAGAGCACTTTCATGACAATAGACAAGATATTACGATGGAGTAAATTTCCATTTTTGTGTATTGATATTCTACTAATTAGAGTGATATCAAGTAGAACCCAAAGTACCAGTTGGTGTGCGTTACGTTTTTTTACTGTCTCCCCCCGCCACCTCATGCAAAAAGTCAGTGATACCAACGGGATTAGCTCCTTTACATAATATATACACACTTAAAACAAGGTCTAAACTTTGTCGTTCCATGACTTCAATGCCACTATCCCCTTAATTAATGGAGCGTCCTTCAAAATCTCTAACTGTCCCCTCCGCAGTAGCTACATACCAAAATTTAGCTGGTTATGTATACATAAGCCATATACAGTCACACATTAAACGCTACATTAGTTATGCATTCAGACGATCATTGTTACAAACTCAGCAAATATTATTGTACAACACTCAAAATGCAAAGTAAATGTGTGTTTGCCACAATAGCAAGTTCAAATCTGTATACTCACATACTAGTATCAGTAACACAATCAGACATCTCAGGAGGAGGAATGAAATCAGTGTAGCTGGGGTCATTGGTATGGTCCCATTCTGACACTGGGTTAGTGTGAAACAGTGCATGATATGATCGGGCAACAAGTGGTGTTCGTTCAGATTGAGTCCAACGCAGGCAGATCTTACATTGCCCAGTTCGAAAGTAAGTGAGCACAAATAGAACTGCCAAGAACAGCACCTCTAAACCAGCCACAGATTCTCGAATAACAACACGACTTAGTGTATTGCCATCATCAATGATATAGGTTGACACCACATGCAGAGCAGCTCTTACAATATACTAGAAGAAACAGGGCATACACTGATAGTAATGGAAGTTTCACTTGTGTATTAAGGATCCCTTGGCGCTTGAAAAATCTGATGTGAAGGTAAATAAGTAGGATGATAAAGACTAGCAAACCCAGCAACAGACACCCAAGAAACACATCAAATACTACAACTTTGTTACTGGAAACACTTTCATCTTCATAAAATATTATTTGAAGAACTGCCAGAAGAATGGTAAAAAGAAGGGTAATTATGTGGAAAGTTACTTCAAAATACTTCTTGCATTTCAGTCTTATGTTGCTGAGTATACGGACAAGTGGTGATCCAAGTTGTGTTAAAAACATAAGCAGTACCACCGTGAAATGCAGAACCACCGTTGTGTCTAGAAAGAGCAATATAAACTTCACAGCAACACACAATTCATGCGGCAGAATCCCACAACAGAATCCTACAGAAGCATAGAGTAATTCCTGGAGGCCAAGAAACGAAGCGAGCAGAATGCAGAGTCTCTTCACTGGACTGTTCCAGGCCTCTTTCTTGAGAGCCAGTATCACGCAGAGTAGGAGAGCAAAGGAGATTATTGACAACCCCAAGTGTACTACTGCAACGGCCAGTGCCCCTTTAGGACACGGCTCCTCCTTATCTGCACCGAGACACACTATGTAGGTGCTACACTTAGAGTCGTTCATGACAACAGCAACTTGCGTCATGCCCCCCCGAGACTAGACTGCGCCGGTGCACAGCGCGCTGATGGGGTGTCGTAGTATGGAACGCTCGGCATCGCTCCGCTCGCAATTTTCCACTAGCTAGCATAGCTACTAGACCGGACGAGATTGCTGCGTGGAAGGAAACAGCGTGCTTTAGGATGAAAGGATGCAGTAATAAAGCGATAGGTCAGTCGCTCCCGATTCTGCCTTTTATGATTCTTATCCGGGACGATCGCTGCGATGTCGCGTCGCTGCGCTCCAGTCATGGAACGCCAAACGTAACCTTAGAGGCTGCACGCGCGCGTACGCAGTGCGTACGGATGCAACACACAAGACACGTTCACTGGAGTACGCTTCACTCAACTGCAGTTAAAAACTGTACCACAGATTTAGCTATAAGTAAGTGAAAAGGCAGTGGGAAAACTAAAGAACATGTTAGAGGATTGGTAGGTAATTAATCATAAGGCATTTCACTTCACCAATCTCTTCTGAAGGTAGAGAGGACCGACTTAAGAGTGCCTAAGATTATTGCCTGGTGTGTTCCCAAGAATTAGTTGACTTCCTGCATCACCTTAGCAACTATGCTTTGGAAGGATTCGTCTTCTCTTCCCACATGGGCTTAGGCATCCATACGCTCCGGAAAGAGATATGATGTAAATAGCTGTTAAATGCTAATCGAATTCCTAAATGCTTATATACATGCAAGAGGCCTATTGTTTAGTGTTCTGACATGTGTTATGACAAGGGAAAATAGTGAATCTTCCCATTTCGTGTACCCTTCCTTACTCATCGTGCAATGAGCATTCCAGTGAAGACTTCTTCAGATCCTCCACAAACTAACTAGTTACAACCTCATCCCATCACTAATGATCACAAGTGGAAAATTCGTTTCTTCAAAATGAAGGGGGATATAGGGATGGCTCGAAGCACCAAAAAGGAAAGAGCAAGGGGTCATTTCACGTGACATTTTACCCAAGACTAGTTCCAATGGGGTAACGTTATTATTAACCCTCACTGACAAGTTTAGTTTGTTTTCAACCATTAAGGTCAGTCAGCTTGGAGCGGGTGGAATATTAAGCCAATGCTAGTACAAAAACAGGAAGGAGGGACGACCGCAGAGGGGGAGAATACACATGGTCTATCGACAAGAAGGAGGTAAGCATTGGGGCGCGTTCGACGCTCTAAATCAAGAGAGAGAGAAAACAACTGGAGGAGGGGTGTCGAAGGTCGGGCGAGTGGCCTAGCGCCAGCTAAGCTCGAATGGGCCTCCTAAGCGATAGCTATAACACAAGGTTAAGCCGTGCAGGGAGGGTTGGTGTTAGGATTGGGCAGCAGGGTGTATGGAGGGGGGTTTATAATCGTGCGAGTCCAAGAATGTGTAAGTCCTGTTATTTCATCACTGCGATCGGTGGCTAAAGGGAGATCAAGGACACTCCCAACTGGCAAGCCAGCTTCCTGGTAAGAAGGTGTAATGGCCTGAGGTTAGCGTGTGGTCTGTTAGGGGGGGCTGGCCTGGGGTTGTCGTTAGGACGGGCGAGGGAGGCAAAGGAAGACTACGTGGGGGAGGGTCTCGGGGGGGAGAAAAACGTCTTAGTAAGTTGTAACCCGGGGGGGTGCCATAGGGTACAACAAACAGAACTGCGGCAAGAGGATGGGGGAAGGGGGGGCCACGAGATTTAAGAAGATGGGTCACAGGCGAGGGGGGGGCATGGACGCAATGTTTGGTCGGAGGAGGAGAGAGGTGGGGGGGTCAGAGTGGAAAGAACTACAGAGCGGCACAGAGAAGGGGGGGAAGGGGTCAAAGGACGAAGGGAGAGGGGGGCATGGTTACATGTTATGGGGAGGAGGGGGAATGTTGATAGTAAGTGAATAATTGTTAGTGTCAGTGAAATTTGATATCAAAAATGAGGTTAGTGAAAGATTAATAAATAATTAATGATATTAAATTTATAAATTTGTAATTTTGATTTTTGTTGAAGGCCCCCACAGTGGATGCCATGGCTCGCTGGGTATTTTATTTTTTTTACTTATTTTTTTTTTTTTTTAAGCAGCCGCTTGAAATATTATAGTCATGAGGCAACCAAAACTCTGGAATTGGCACTCTATTGTGTATGGGCCGGCTCACAGAAACTAACCTGGAGGGCAGTGCTTCCCAAAGAACTTTGAACCAGCTACAATAATCGTAGTTCTACATGGCGAAATTAATGGCATATGGCCTATGGCCAAAATGAGCAAGCCCATGCACAAAGAAGTGAGGAGCTACTAGTGTGATAGTGAGACTCCATTAATAAAAAATTGTCATCTTTTTGTGTTCATGATCATGGTTACAAGCATTGTATGTGCCTCCTCAATGTCTGTTTCCAAATTCAAGTTCACTTCAACCAGAGGAACACCGACTTGATCTGCAAACTGCTGAGCTGTGCTGCTCTCCACTCTCCTGGACTTACCTATTGCTCCATTCACTCCTACTAGAATAAATGGTGTACTCTTCTGTTCGGGGAATGTGTCCATGAGAGCATGAATGGGAGATGAAAAGAAGGAAAGAAAGAACAAAGGAGAGGGAAAGGAAGGAGGAAGAAATATATAAGAAGAGAGAGAGGGAAGAGAAACACAGACGCAGACAGCTGCAGGCATACAAAATGCTTTCGGTAGAACGTGAAAGTGTTTTTCACAATTATACTTGCTTTCTGCTTTTACCATGCTGCACTTATTGGGAAAGCACATTCGGGAGATATAATTTTCAACTTTACAACAAAGTTACACGGTTCTATATGACTTAATAATTTACTTTGGAGTGCGTCCTCCACTGAATGATATCTTGCACTAGTTTCCTGGCAAAGTCAAATGAGCCAGTGAAAGTGAAGTCATATACCACAGCAATACCGTCTCTCTCTGAGACAGTGTGTGGAGAAAGAGCTCCACAGGAGGAGCACTCCCCGTTGTCTGTGTATAGCTCCAATCTCACTTTCTTTCCTTCCAGAGGCAGGGTACAGCAGCGCGGCAGGATATGGTGTGTGGCTGTCTCATATCTATAGATCACAACATGGACCATATCATTTTCAGGGATCAACCTTTCCTGGACCACGCTACTTTTGTTTACACTTGTCACACTTCACGTTCTTTCGAGAATAACCTCAATACCTAACAGTCAAAAAGTCTAATGCAGATAATGACTAGTATCTTAGTGGCACGGACAGAACCTAAAAGAGCACAAGCTAAACTCACTCTTCTTTCCTCATGGAGGTCCGAAAGCCATTGACAAAGGGGTTCACAGAGGCTGGATGGTAGACGTTGGCTCCAATGGCCACCACTGAGAAGACACAGTCCCAGTTGCCAGGTGCTCGGGAGGTGATGGGTGATGGACCTGGTGGCTGGTTTCTGTTCCCCATCAATGACCACCGCTTGCGGTCCCGTTTCTTTGTGGTGAGCTCGCTAGCAGCTAGCCCCACCCCTACGTAAGGGGATGGGGCTAGCTGTCCCTATAATATTGTACCCACCCACACGTCCCCTCGATCGAAATGGCGGACGATTTTGAGCTTGAAGAGCGGCTGGATAAAGACCTCGAGTGTCCCATTTGTATGGAAGCGCAGAAAGAGGCGCACTTGACGGTATGCTGCGGCAATCACTTTTGCTTCAGGTGCATTGATCGTGTTGTGAAAGGGGGCAAACCGTGCCCTTTGTGCAACGGTGAACTCGTCATATTTCCCGACAAGAAGCAACAGAGGAAGATTTACGCCCTCCGAGGGCGCTGCAGGAAACTTGTCATGGAGGAGCAGGGAGCAGATGCAACTGGTGTGGTGAGTTGCGTGACTTTGAATGCCACCGCTGTGTGCCAGAATCAGCACTACAACCTGACCCTCCTCCTCCGCCCTCACCTCACAACCAGACCCTCTTCCTCCACCCCCAAAACCTGACTCTCCTCCTCTATCCCCTTACCACCCTCTACCCCCGCAACCAGACCCGCTTCCTCTACATCCTGTCCACCCTCCACCCCCATACTTTCCACTGCCATGTCTGCCTCCCTTCAGTTTTCATCCTCCATGTAGGCCTCATCATCCATTTACACCTCACCATCCCCACCATTTCCCTCGTCACCACCGGCCCCACCACCACCCACACCGACATCCACACCCTCGTCACCACTTTGGACACTGTCACCCCAGACACCACTTTTAGTGTTGAATGTATATAGGCTGACATGGCAATTACACCAAATGGTTGTTACTCGCTAATTATAGCAATACATAAAAGTGTTGCAAATCTGCAGATCTCCCTGATTATATCTGTGAGTACTCTAAATATCAGATTCTCATGAGAAAACTTATAGACTGGGAACTGTGTAAACGGTTTTATCTGCAATATAAAAGCCAAAAACAAACGGATAGCTGCACTACAAACATTGAAGTTTCTAACAAAAACAAGCAAAATTCAAAGTCATTGTTACCAAAGTGTCAACATTAATTAATGTATCCTGTCACATCAGATCTTCGGATTCTTCCCCACCGTCTGTTCCTGTTATGTCTTCATAGAGGGAGTTGTGAAGGCCAGTCTCATCCAGAGCTGGGTCATCCGTCTCCTTCAGACTCTCGTACAGGTTCTCATGCATGTTGGGCAGTTCAGGTAATGGCTCCTTCTCTCGTACACACTTAGCCCCTATAGGCTCTTCGTACAGTTTAGCAAGAGGCGAGGTCGACGTTAGTGTGCAACCAGCTTGTCGATCAGTTGATGTTGAAGAAAACACAATGGAGGATTTCTTTCTGAGATAAGAACATGAAAATAAAAGTTTATTGAATAATAATGTGTGCTTACTTTTGCCTATGGTAGAGAATGGCTCCAATGATAACAGCCACCAGTAGCACTATTGCCAGGAGAGCCACACCTCCAACTGCCGGCCCCACCAACAGTGCTGGATTACTGCTCTCTTGTGGTGTGTCTGTTACAATGGGCACAACTCTGGGAGGTTCCTTTGAGGGTTCTTCCTCACCATTGGTAGGAGCTTTCGGAGGTTCTTTTGTAGGCTGACTCTTGTTACCCACTATCTTTAGCTCTTCACCATTGGCTATCACAGTTGGAGCGCCAGATGCCCACTTTATGAGATCCTTCAATAAGTCAGTGCTGTTTCTGTCACTGGTGCTTACTATCCTCCCCGAGTAGATAAGTGTCTGTTTTTCACAGGCTAGTTTTCCATCTCCAACATATTCACTGGGGAAACTACAGCTGCAGAATAGTTCGATTCCCCTGCTAATGTCACGAGCTAGATCTTTCAGTATCTTTACTTGATCTTTTGCCTGGAATCAGAAAGATAGAGTAAACAGAAAGAGTAGGTACAGTGAAACATCATCTAATCTAGACTACAAGGGGACAGTAATCAGGGGTCGAATGCAAGAAATTTTTCTCAGAGAAAGAAAAGGTTTCCTTTTAGAGAGATATGTCCGCATTTCAGGGATGTCCTTAGAGAGGCCAAGTTCAACAGTGTATGTCATGTATTAAGCTTCCAGCCTACTATCCATTCTGTGCAGTTTGCCTTCTCCAAAGCCACCATGAATTCACTGCTAGTATACCCTATGATGATAAAAGTAAGTTCAAATCAACATCAACACAGTTGATCTTCTGATTTCCACGTACACGGAATGAGAGTGTATGAGAAAGGTCCAACCCCGGGACTGGTTCTCCCAGCTACCCACACACAGTACTGGAGTCCCGGGTCTAAACCAGTCACTTCAAACATCTCCTGGTCCACAGACACGGTGTCATTGGTGATGGAGTCACTAGGGGGACACTGGCCAGATCTCACACTCTGGTAGCCAATCTCATAGGACACCAGCCACCCTCTCAGATCCTCCCAGCTCATCTCATCCCACTCCACACTACCAGTGGTGGCTGAGCTACGAGTAGTAGTGGTGCTTGGAGGGGGGCTATGGGGAGCTTGAAAAGGAAGGTTTAGCTATACCTTAGCTTCAAAGGGGTGAGGCTACAGATATGCATACCTCCTTCTCGAGAGTATATAAAACGGTGGACAGAATCTCCAATTCCAACAGATGTAGAGGCCCTAACTGTGACTTCATACCTGATATAGGGACCTAGCATTTGAGAGTGTCAAAGTAAGTGTATACATGAGGTAAATCCTTGTGTTGGAAACAGCCATAGCTACTTCAGCAAAAAGCATAATGGCATAAAACCAATGCTGGTTCGAGCCAGACTAAAATGTCTTCCTTGCTTTCGTCCATCAATGACTTACCAATTCCAACAGAGATATTCCACTCATGCACTCTTGGAGGTATTTCATAGATAATCTTAGTTGAGTCAATCAAGTTGGTCACTACAACATGATACCCAGTGAGAACTCCATTTGGGGTGACTGGAGGATCCCACGACACATGGAGGACCTCGTCACTCAGTGCTGTCACCTCCAGCTTTTCAACTGGTCCTGGAACTGTGTACATGCTCAGTATCATTACAACTCAACTGTTGCAAATGTAATGTGTCTAAACCAACAAAACTAGAGCTCTGGAGAGCACGTGGTATTGTGTGTATCATTTGAGCGCATGGTCTGTGTGGCCAAATGACCCAATGTTTGTAGCTGGATCTCAAGGTCAGTTCCATTGATGATTCAAAGCATAGTGACGCCAAGTTTATTGCCGTTTCAAACTTACTCACGCACCTATATCTTGAGATCTGGCAATTTTAGTGTGGACGACGACAGATACACAGACTGAAAAACATAACCCATACTTTTTGTTACGTTGAGTTATACAATTTATATATATAACAGCTATACAATACCTGTTTCATGTGTAGTTTCACTTCTTTGCTCGCTCTGTGGGCCTTCTCCGATCTTTGTACTGGCTGAAACACTCACATTCACTACTTCATAAGGAGAAAAACCATCGAGCAAACAACTGTGGTTACTGACATTCAGGACTGGGCAGTCATTAATGTATACTGTGTAGAAGATGATGATGCCATTCGGAGTGAGCGGAGGTTCCCACTGGACACTTATGGCAGTTGAATTCAAAGTAGCCACAAGCAGCTCTTGCGGTGCATCTTCTGGAACTGCAAAAGACAAAAGACTAGTAGTATATACAGTGAAGTATTGCACTACATGTTTACATGTGCATTGTTCTATAAACAACCTGATTGGAGTGTAGTTCTTGTGGCGCAGCCAAGTCTGGTTGGCCCTGATGTAGTGTTGGCAGCCACACAACAGTTGTAAGATGTGTATGGAGTCAGTGACTCAAATGCCATGTGAAGAGAACTTGTAGGGTCAACATAATGGGTTTCGCCTTCAAAGATTACGAAGTATAGAGTTGCCCCATGTAGCAGTGGAACCCAACTAATCTCCAGTTCATCAGAGCCAGTTGCAGTTAGAGTAATATTCTGAGGAGGCTCTGAATGGTACAATGACAAAGTTTGCAGGGTGCATAAAACATAAATAGCTATGTTACCACTGCAGTCATCAGTGGGAGACCATTCAGGGCAGACACAGGCATTTGGAGCTAGACACAGGTGTGAATCAGGGCAGTCGTTACATATTGCTGCATTATTAATGAAATCATTAGCTAATGTTGTAGGTTTGTTTACTGAGCATACGTGAGCATTGGTCCCCATTCATTGAATATCCTTCACAGCATGTGCGTTCAGAGTGATATAGAGTATGAGAACGATCCACAAAGTGTGAAGAGTAGGTCACACTGAAAATTACAAGTTTACCTAACATTAGGAGCAATTCATGATTGCTCGTGTAAATTACCGGTAACACCTGCTCCAATCAAATAAGCCACATGAATATGACAGCATGGAACTGCCCTTGAATGTATGTGCGGTATGTCTGCACTGTAGCTATGATGTGATAGCATACACTGGAGTAGAAAAATACGTATGAGCAACTGCAGCTACACGCAGTAACCACTTACCTCTGTTGACCACAAGTGAATGGAAACAGAAACAGCATGAAAAGGGCTAGTCTATAAGTCATTTTCCACTCCCTTTACTAGCTTCAGGGGAAAAAACAATGGCTAGCTAGCTACTATCACAGCACCTAGCAATAACGACTTGCAGAGTTCTATAGATAACTTGACGTAGCTTCCATGTACGTATTAGTGGTCGGTAAACCTCAAAGGAGGGGCAACAATTGAAAGTTGGCAGCACTGGCCAATATCAAGAGCGAGCACTTGCGCCCGCCGATCTTTTAGTAGGATCAGCTATGCCTGCAAAATAATTTATTTGCACGCTGCAACCGCGCCAACGCACGCGCGAATCCCTACCGCCGCTGCAGTGCACATTCCTATAATATTCTGGTGATGTCCGACTGCAATATTATCCTAAGGAGGCGGTTACTTGCATGGTTATAGTGAGTATGCGTATACCAGCGGTAATTCTGGGCGATGGGCTTTTAGCAGCAGCGTATATATACACGTAACCCCACGGCCACGCCCGCAAGACCACCGGCTTGTGCTGCCAACCATTATCTTGATGCTAAGTGATTTGTAGGCGGTAGTGGAGTCCGCGCATAGATTCATGTCAGAGGAGTAACAAAGTAGTACATCACACTCCCAAACGCACAGCTGAGCTGACAGGTTGGCCCTAAACGCAAAAGCGATCCAGAGCGATCCGACCAGCCCCCATATGCATGCATTCATTACGTATTGGGGCGCGCGTGTAGAACGGCGCGCGCTAATTACTAGCGCTATCTAGCAGCGGCCCTGCTCGGGTATGCAAGCGCAAATGTGACCAGTGTGCTTTTGATGCAGAAATTGTGCGATCCATGTGTGGACGCGTGAATAGGTCGAAATGACTGTGTGATGGTTGGGAATTTTGAAGTGCGTAATCTCAACGCAGTTGACCCATCAGAAAACCTCATGATTCTACGTCTTGTGATGGTAGCAGAACAACTTTGATTGACTCTTTGCTACTGTTCACTAGTTTCAATCCCTTCTCCACATCTTTCAGGGGGAGCCTGTGTGTGATAATATCCTGCAATGGGGAACATGGTATATAATAATCATTAACACAGAGTTTGAGTTTGTAACAAACCTCCAGTGGTAGCTGCTTCTTTTCAATCATGGAGATAGCTTTGGGGTAGGTGTATGGACTGCAGTGACCTCCCCTAATTGTTAGCTCTATAGTGAAAATGCTGATAGAGCTTACTGCACTGAAAGAGTACCCTACAATAACATACCACAAACACTGGCAGGGCCACTCACATACCTTTAGCATCTGATATGATAGTCCAGTCAACTGTAGCCTCTTGTCCAAACACGCCATACTCCACCATTGTTCCCATCTTACACAGCATTAAAAGCCTGGGGAGGTCATTCCACTCACATAGGTGCAACATAGCCCAAAATCTTTCCTCCTACAAAATCATTTGGACCTCTATGGTACACATCTCTCACCCCTGTTTGACACTCTGGGGGTGACCAGTGGCCTCGATGTATATGTCACAGCCATAGCCACCAGTGAGAGAGTGGACCTCCTCCACAACATCACAATGTGATGGATTCAGAACCACATCAGCCCCACACTTCTTGGCCACTTCCAACTGCAAATACATCAGTTTAGTTTGAAAGGTAACAATCAAAAGCTGACATAGGTCGTACTTTGACTCTGGTAGAAACGCCCCCAAATATAGTTACAAGGCTTGTTTTGATAGAGCAAAAATGCTTCAAGGAGAAGGGGCAGAAAAAACAGTATGAATATGGAAAGTACCCAGCCATAATCAGAGTTAAAAGTTTTAGATGGCCAGGTACGCCACACACCATTTTTGTGTGAAGATGGTCACTATCAGGACCAGTAATAATAGGACACCAGTGTCAGAAACACTTCTATTAGACACAGAGGAGGGGGTGGAGGGGGTCTACCTTCCAGTCGAAGAGGTCTAGGGCAATGAGAGTGGCCGGGCTCTTGAGTCTTGCAGCAGCCACCATGCCCAGCCCCAGAGGTCCACAGCCAGCCACCACCACAGTGTCTCTGAACCCCACTGACCCCAGCTCCACCGCATGCACTGAGCAGGCCAGGGGCTCAATGAAGGCTGCCTGCCAAGCCGGGATGCTCTTGGGCACCTGAGGAGAGTAATCACTACTTCAGTTGTGGGCACAATGACATACAACACACAGACTTTATGGTTAATGGCTCCTTTTGGGTATTTCATGTACGTTGCCATTGCACCTGAACACACGAAACAGCGTTCATACTCGAGAAGAACATGAAATGCACAGCCTTACCCTGTGAGTATTGCTTGAAGCCATAAACATAGTGAGGTATACCTAGGATCAGGAGAATAATGAGATAGCGATGCAATGCATGTACAATAGAG